AGGAGCCAGAGAAGGAGAAAAGAGAGAGAAAGAGAGAACATGGGGTGGGCGAGCAGATGACTAATAAAACTGGAGTAGCGGGACTGAGTGTGGAGAGCGCACGGCCTGTCTGTCTTGTTGGTCTCTCCCCCTGCCTAGCCCTGCCGCAGGCAAATAGTCGCTGGAAACTCATTGCAAGGCAGACTTGCATGAATTATGAAAATAGAGTGCATGCATTGCAAGCTTAAGGCCAGGCTGGTTGAATCAGACTAGCTCTGTGGGCTACAGACAAAGGCTTATTATGGCCTGGATAAAAATCAACGCAGTTTCAAGAATCTATACATTATGCAATACTTTTAATTATGTGTCTCGGGAAGTACAATGCACATACCTACTGACTTTTTTCCCCCAAAGTCTTTGTATTTTTAAAATTAATTAACACCAGTATTATGTAGCCTCTTTCAAAATAAAATGTCAATTTGACACTGTAAAATTCAATTAAATTTGAACGGATGTAATTCAATAATTACTAATCATGCATTGGTTGACACTGCTTTTGTTTTAATACAAGAATGTGTTGGACCATTAAAATGGCATTCAGAATTTCAAGTATCCCCGCACATACATTTACATGTCCATGTACCAGTATCCTAAAGACAAAGAGAATAAGCACAAATGGGTCATTCAATAAATTTGGGGTCCAATTTTCTTCCCGTCCCTGTTACATCTGGCAAGTGATTTTTTAATGTTAAGAACCCATTCCTTAATTTCAAAGACTGACTAACTACTGCAAATTTACCTGCCAAGCAAAAATGGTTTGAAATCAATATTTAAGTGATACATCCCTTGTCAAACATGTCAGATGGCATACATGTCAGAGGTAACAGGGATGGAAAAATGTCACTCTTTGGACCCCAAAGTTATAAAATGACCCAAATGGATTTTATCAGTGTAATGCTTGCATAGCTTACATCTTATGGAGCTGTTGATAACAATGAATCCTTGTTCAGATCGGGCTGCAACATTCTTTTAACGAATATTATAGACATGCACTTCACGCCCCTTTACGTCCATCTCTGAATTGCTAATTTCAGGGGATTTCAAAGCCTCAAGTTCTTTGTTGCTTTATGTTATATTCTATCTCTCACTTGCCATTTTTAATATCACAGGTTTCTGGGTTGTTCTACATGAGTGTCATCTCCTATACAAATGTCTTTGTGAACACAAGGTTGATGCCAATTTAAAAAAAGCAGGTAGACACTTGAGTTTATACACCTGCCTGATAGAACTCAAAGAGGTTGCTTGCTTTTTATGGGGGGGGAGGATCTGTAATCTACAACTTCAAAATACCGCTGCTTTCTTTGGTTTTTCTCAGAACAACTAGTGAATAGCTCTTGTACAAACTGTCATAATCTGGGTGCACAGTTTGGTTCAAAGACCCTTTCACCAGGAGAGAGACGGAGAAAGAGTCTTCCGTGACATGACAACACCATGCCTCAATGTCAGGAAACGCATTAGACAATTGTGTAATATAATAGTGAACCACTGAGTGTTCTGTCAAAATATGGCTCTGTGGTCAGAATAGCCCACACCACAAAAGGGGTTTCCCTTTATTTCCATACACTTCAAAGGTACAGGTAACCGGCCCCCACACAAAGCAAGTTGTTTTAAGAATGGAGATAGAGTGGAGTCGATTGCATGGCTCCTTTAATGTTCCAACTGTAGCAAGTGGCTGTCAAGGCACCGGTACATCACGGCGCACAGACAACACCTTTGCCTACCTCGGATGCCATCGTCATTCCCCCCCAATGGACACAAAGCATTTCAATGTTGCTCGATCACAGATTGTCGGGAGCCTGTTCCAATCAATCAATTACTGTGCGCCGCAATGCGCAATCACCAACAGTCTGCACTGCAACAGAAGTGTTTGGGGCAATGGTTTCCAATAAAATGTAGGGAGGAGCAAAGTACAAGTGGGCCCACACATTCTTTCTTTACCTTAAGCCTAGGTGTGCTCAACTCGTCATGCACGCGTACCAAATACCTCCTTTTGTTTGTTTTTCAACCAGACTGGTATTATAACTTCAAGTTTGAGTGTCCTTCAATAATTTTCTGTCTTGTAAACACCGGAACTTTGGAACATGTAAAATAAACAACTGTTTGGGGAACATGGCCTTTTTGAACATATCAACAATTGTTTTGGTGTACTGTTTGTCCCGTTTGCTTAAAGCCTGGACTTGCTCTGCAAGAGTTTAACAAAACCAAAGCAATGTAATTGTTGACGGCGTTCATGTCCGACATGAGAGGTTGCAGAAATGGCCACTGTAAGCATGTGGTACTCTCGGCTCGTGGGGTGCATGCTGTGCTGAGCGGGATTTGAATGACGTAAATGATGTTACACGTACATGTAAATACATACATGTACATTAATTTTGTTACAAATTTGACTTGTGACTCGTTGAGACAAATGAAATTATGGACCTGAGATACGTTTATATTGAATAACCCCCAAAATACAAGGCAATAAACGCGAGGAAACCTGCACATAGACTAATGCCCCTTTTTCCAAAAGCCTTGCTCTGAAAATGATTGTTTTTATGACAAGTGGTTTCCCACTTCCAAAGTTCAGTTTGGATAACTGTAATGTGATCCATAATGCAGACATTCATTTATGATGTTCCAATTCATATCACATTGTACACATGTACATTCCTTTTAAATGTCAACTCTAGGGTCCAAGTCCAACTTTTTGACCAGTTCCTTTGGAAAAAATGTCCTACTTTTAAACTAAGTGGTACTGATTATTATCCAGTGATTCATGGAAAGAACTTGACACTAAAAATCATTTAGCTGTCAAATTGAACAACAGAGAAAACACATTTGAAGAAGTTTGTACCTCGTTAAATTCAACAGAAAATCCGTACTGATTTGGATTTGGTTAAACTCCTGCAAATTATAAAAGACGGCAAAGGAGTTTGAAAATTCCCATTCTCATGTAGACAGAGCCATTTTATTAGTTCACAGGACGTCCCCCATAGCTCACCCTACAGTGCTATGCAAGAGGTATCGATTAAAAAAATACGTCCAACCAGGTATGTACATGTTCACTTGTTCATGATCTTACATGGCCTCTGTACACAGTCAAGCCAACAGGTATTGGACTACCCGTCTGTAAATGTTATTTTCTTTTCCCCCACAGGAAAAGCATATTATGCACACAGGTTCAACACCATTGGTTGGGGCTTCAAGTTTTATTAAAAAGCGCACTAAATCCAAGTTGTCTTAGGGATCTAACCTGATTACCAAAGTACACGCAAACCCAGCCCAGACTGGGACCGGGACACGGTTAATTGGCCTCAAATATTTGATATTGCGCTTTGCAAGTAGCGCATCCAGCAAATCAAGCTGGCTGTAAGTGGATTACCAGGCAGTGAGCTAAGCCTGTCAAATGTGATTAGAACCCTTGATGTCCTGTGAGCCAAGCCAGCCCCAGGTTTAAACGGTGTCACATTGTACTCTCAAATCTGGCTAGTGGGCTGGTGGAGTTCCACCAACAGAGGGGGCTGTAACAAAATCACAGACATGTCAGAGGGCTGACCCTTCCTCTTCTGGTATCTACAGACAATTGGGGGCGCTGGTTCTTTTTTCAGGGTGCAAGACAGGATTTTTCCTCCTCAATCCAGCAGGAAGTGGAATCCACCAAAACTCACATCTCTCTGCAGAACCCAACAGCAACTTTCCTTTACATTAATTTCAAGAGATACTGAATCCCTTGCCAAATTAAAACTTACCGGGTTCTACATGTACCTTCCTTGACCATGTAAAATCCTCCCAAACTTTATAATGGATTTTACAGACTCTTGAAGGATGAGTGACAACCAGGCCTCTCAGTAGCATTTTCCTAATAGTTCACCTCCATATCCCGTAAGCGTATAACCTGGTGTACACGTTTTCACTGCCTTGCATTAACCAGGGGGTACGCTCTGCTTGCAAAAAGACTACCAACGTTCCCCAAGGATTGCTGTCCATGATACACAGACAAAGACTGTGAGCATTAGTCTCATTTGAGTGGATGCCAAGATACTGAAGCCACATCGGCTATGTTTGTTTCACGTGGCTCTGGATCACCATCAGGGATCCGCCACTGGTTTACGGATGCAAAAATCCACCCAACGGATGGTGTGAACCAGCATTAGGATCACTGATCAAGATCCAACAAACAGGCCCGTAACCTCCCCCAGGATATCCCAGGGTAAAGGACTAGCAGAGTTCACCAAGAAGATTTTCCTCCTTTTTATACATAGTAGCTTGTCAGGTTTCTCTAATAAATCTCCAGTAACTCACAAATGCATTCTCAACAAATACTGTATTCTCCCCCCCAATATACAAGCACAATTCCAATCCTTCTCTCTCTCTTACATTCTCTAGGATGGAGCGTGACCACTGATTCCTAACAGGTCACTTTCCTGCAAATGCCAAAGTGGGTTTTTCTCTTGGAGGCTGTGCTACAGCAAACATTAATTGCTACTTCCTTTAGTTACTTTTGGGTTTCCGCATTGATGTAGTGGCGGAACTTCCGGAGGAACAAACCTCTTTCTCCTCCAGAGAACAAATGGAAGCAGTGTGCCTGAGACAGAATGTGCTCTTCATGGATACCCAATGGATGACAATTCAGCAAATTCAGCCCAACCGCCTCAATTAAATGGGAGTACTAGTGATTTAACGTTGCTCTTTCTTAAGTGGCATACTCTTGGTGAACATCTTGCACAGTGAGCAATACCAGAACCCTTTCAGCATGGGTTTGATGTAATATGCTGTATTGATACACACATCAAATTTTTAAAAATCGTCTTTAAACAGATCAATGGGATGGATGGAATTTGCCCTCCCCAACACTGCTGTGAGGAAGCACTGATGAACTACTGTCTTGCGGAGAGACCTCAAAGCATTCAGATTGCTTGAAGGAGCATAATGGACACTGTGCGCATAAGTTGTCTACTCTGAATAAAGGCAAAGTTTACCTGTGATCCAGTCTGTCCCATGATTGGTTGAGTGCTGAGATGAAGGCTGGACGCAATACTCTGTACAAGACTTTCTTCCTTCATGTCTGGGCCAACAGCTGGCAAGATGAGGACAGGACAATTTGAGGCAGTTTTTATCACAGCCAAAAACTGATGGATAGACATTGGGAAGGTTTAGGGATGCCAAACCTAACAAGATTGCCACTGGCAAAATTAATGTTCAAATTATCAGTATTTGTCGATGTTAAGCACTACTTCACAGTATGAATGCACAAGGAAATGTCTGTTGTAGCATTGCCGATTCAATTAATTTGATCCTCAAAGGGTAAGCGTGCTTGTGGTATGCTTACTGCTTACAGGTGTCAGTGAACTAGACCTGAGGCTCTGGTAGCACAAAATCAGCTGTTAAGCACCACTACAAAAAGGGCTAAGCTGGACCCAATTTCATGGCACTGCTAAGCACATTTTACGTATTAGAGGTTTTGCGTTTGTTTAATGGAGACTGTAACCAGTAAGGACAGCAAAAGGCCCGTTTACCTTGAAGGGAAAGATTTGCTGACCTTCGTGACATATTATAATGGTAATCTCCGCACGTGCCCAAAAGTTAGCCTAAAACACCATGAAATTGTGTTTGTCAGCAAAATTTTCTGCTGAAGCAAGCACAGCTTTTCTGCTGCTAAGCAGCACCATGAAATGGGGCTCGGGTCTGACCCTTTCTCCACTTACCAAAGAGCCCTTCAGGAAGCTCCATGGACTGTAGGATTTCCTCTTCGATGTCGCATGCATGCATCCCTTGCAGTCGCTTCTCCCAGAAAAGCTGAAGGACCATAAAAGAAGAGAATCAAGACAGAGAAAGGTGCTCAGAGTATCCGCCCTGAGGTGAGGTGCACCCTCACTGGCGAAAGAAAGACAGACGATACGAAGTTTTCCAACCGGGTTCTTGCATGTGTTCAGCGTGCACGCAAAGAACACACAATCTAGACTCAAATCGCACGAAGTTACAGCTCATGAGGTAACCCCAGAGTTCAAAAAAGGAAAATTTTACTTTAAAATTCAAATGAAACAAAAGAAACTGTAAAAGTATATCAAAATGAGTTTTATTTTTCAAAAGCCATTGATCTGCTTTTTAAAATTAAATTTTTTTAAATTTTAAAATTTAATTACTGCCGTTTCAAAAGATGTTATGTTTGAACGAGACTCTTCAGAGGTCAGGGTTCATGCATAATGTGCATGACATTTTCGTGTCCCTGTTACACCTGACCTTTATTATTGGACATAGAAATATGACCGGAATTTATTTCAAACTACTACTATTTGTTTGGCAGGTAAAATTCATCCCTCTTGGAAAGAGGAAAGTGTGTTCTAAACTCAAAAAATCATGTCAGATGTAACAGCGACACCCAAAAAAATGGAGCCCTAATTTCTGGAATGATATATTTAAGATTTACATGAAATGCCTAAATGTCAGCTCTAGACTATATGTTCAAGTGACGTACCTGTCTTGGTGTTTCCTTGGTGTCCTGTTTGGGGTCTGCCTTGATGCGATTGGCTGCATGATTGGTCTTCAACGTAACAGGCTGCTTGAAGATAGACGCTGTCTGTCGGATAGGCAGGACCAAGCTGATGTCGTGTCGCGTACCTGTAGAGAGGACACGTTACAGGTTTCCATTTTTAGAGGCAGACATTCCAGCAAGAGAGTTGTATTTCTCTGACTGTGCAATGTAAATGACCAGAAGATGTATGAACTGCATGAAGTGAACATACATTTTGGCCTCTCTGCCAGTTACTGGCAGCTCAAGGGGACTGGGCTTCAGTTTCAAGTAGAACATCCCTTACAAATTGATGTCTCCTAACCTTAACCTTCTTTTGGTTTAACAGCACCAATACAGTATGCACAAGTGCCCACAGTCACTCTCTTGCATGTGTTTTCTATATGGAACACAAACATGCACAGGTTCAGTGTGTACACAGTTAGTTGCCCGCACAAAATGACCCAGGGTCTTTTGTGCAGTCCTCTTCACTGCATTTGGTTTGCTGCACAGTTATGCACATGAAACAGTGAAGCACAGTTCTTGGGCAGCACAAAAGTGCAATCTGATATTCCTGTGAGGGACAGTTGGTGCAGTGCACAACATGACACAGCTGTGCTTCTTTGAGCTGTTTACCAACTGACCCAAAGAGTGACTTCAGCATAGGAGGGTTAATCATTCTTTTATAACTGCATAACACCACACTTCTCCTTTGTCACTCTGACACAACTCTGACTACATACATGTAGCCCTCTCATTAACTTGCAGGCTTCAATCTTTACAGCGGCCACTTGGCCGACGTGCCCCTCTTCAATGACTGATCATTGAAGAGGGCTATGTCGGCCAAGTGGCCGCTGTAAAGATCGAAGCCTTTTTAGGCCTCCATATATTTAAAGTTGTATTCAACTTTCAAGTTACCGTTTAGCGCTAGCATTTCTGACAACGGCTGGCCAGCCGCACCAAGCACTATTTTTTTTGCACGGACTGGTTCTGCATCACACTGTAGACAATATGGTATGGCAACCATATCAACGTAGTTGAGTTTTGCGACTCTAAAAACGTCGCACCTGACTACTTTTATACATAGATTGGTTATAAGTTGCGGCACAAAATTACACATTCTGCACCGATTGGATTCTGTACATTGCACATACAGAGGTGTGCCCGGTGTGGGCAACTGCATGGGCAGTGGTTACATTTAATTTGGTACCCTATATTGCTCCCTACGATGTTTCCTGCTTACCTTTGTTGTAATCATAATGGATGTTCTTCAGTCGTTTACTCTTTCGAACTCCCGACGTCAGAAGCTTGCCCGTCCGGAAATCAAAGGAGGTCAAATCGATGGCGTCGCCGAGGAACCTTGCGAGTTGGGGCTTGCTACGGAACTTCCGGCCACACGGGCTGCATGATAAACAACTCAAGTTTGTATTGAAAAAAAAAACACTTCGTTCTCCCACACGTGTACATCATGCTATATATATCATTTCTTCTTTTTTCGAGCCAATTGCAGATTATTAAACTACCACAAAAAATCTATGAAGTGGACATTTTGCCGTGAACCAGTCCCACGCTTTCTCTTATAAAGCCAGCATGGTACAAGCACTGCACAGTGCCCTCAAGAGTACCGGTACAGGTACATGTAGCAGGTCAATATCATTAATGAAGAAATCCTGGCGAGACACACCACCCCCCGAGTTAGAATCTCAGCAATGCACTTTCAACAGTTATTCTTTTTTCCCTGTAAAGTCACAGCAGTAAAACTGATTATTTCAAATTGAACCCATTGCACTGTTGTAGGATATATCATAAATCTATAGAGGTTCTGCATGGCAGCCATCTTTCCGGTAACTACTTTTGTTGCGGAGGGATAGTACAAAAGGTGTACTCATCGGTATCCCTGTGGAACAAAAGCTCTAACTGGAAAAATAGATACCATGCAGAACCTGCATAAACTACTCTTGGTACATCCCATGTCCCATCAAAGTCACAACAACGTAAGCTTAAGATAGTGTATACATTTACCCATCATCGGCAAAAATTATCTATATGGTATATTAGCAGACTACAAGTAGAGAGTGCCCTCTTTGATGCATTTACATGAGGGAGCCTACAGAGGTTATTAAATTGCTTCCAGATTCGAGTAAGGTCTCTGGTCTAGTGGATAGTGCATACATCTTGAGATCACGTGACACGCTCCAAGCTGGGTTTGATTCAAAGCGATTAAACTTTTTTTCTTCCCCCAAAATTATATCCATTCTTCTGAAACTGACTCCAACACTTATTTACCGAGTTTTCATTTTTTTGATTTACAGCTTCGGAAGATTTTGTTTTTAAGGGAAAAGAAGTCAAAAATTGTAAATGGTCTGATTCCCACCTTGTGACAAGGACTAGGCCTAGGCATATGTTGGCGCAGAACCAGACTTAGATTTGTCACAGTAAGATTTGTCGGCACAAGTACCCGGGAAAGTGCATTGATAGGCCTACATGTAGGTAGGGCCTTGGCTACAGCGGGCCCTATAAACATGACAATATTAATGAAAAAGATCGTGAAAATTAATTGAAGGGCAGTCTACATATTGTTATTATTTCATCATTAAAAATCCTGAAGTTTCACTGTATTTTATGGGTAAGAAAACAATTTGACTGAACCAGTCGCATCGACCCGGTCGCAGCCAGGTCCTGGGGCAATTGGCATGAACCACAACTTCACAAGTGTTTTTACTTTAAAAAGTTATGTTTTTGGTTACAACATGCTATTCAATATGTTCAATTACCTTTCAAATAACACTTAATAATGAGTTCAATTGCTTGTAATGTCCTGATCAATTAAGATATCTCAATAATTTTGGTGTCACTGTGTAGGATTTTTCAAGCTCTTTCCAGTGGTACTAATTGCATTGGTACCTGTATATTGGTTCACTTTGTCCTACCCTAAACTTAATCATGTTTTCCAGTCAGACAGTTAATATCTGCATTAGAAAAACATTCCTGTACTTGGTAATTCCCTGGTCTGAGTCCTGAAGCTTTACCCAGGTAGGTTATGGCCAAACAGTAGGCCTACCACAACAAGCAAGGTTAATCCGTGCGGTCAACTAGCCCCATCATCAGATCATGACGATGCCGCGACGGGTCCCCGGACCGGGCCTAAACAGTGCAGTATGTATCACTCTGTACCCGTATATCACGTATGCATGTATGTAGCGTTAAGTTAACGAGTTTGATAAAACCAAGCTAAAACTAAGATGTTTAATTTACCTGTGATAATAAACATCTGTTTTTCCAGCAGAAAGACCGGATTTTCTTATCACCTCCTCCCTCCTCCAACCTTTTGGCAAAAAGGGCACTTCTTCTGTCTTTTTCTTCTCCATTTTGTAACCAACATGCACTTGGTTCCACAGCACAGGGGTCGACGTGCGCACTCAAGATGTTTTCCACATCCGCGTAAAAAATGCGGGTGGAATTCCCTTTAGTCAAATCGGAGGATACAAACTTCCAGATAAATTGAAAATGTGGCCTATTAAAATGCAACCTAAATCTTACCAAGGAAAATGACCAAAGAATTCGAAAGAAATGAAATGTACTTCTCAGTTGAGTAGGAATATTTACTGTCTGAAAGGTCGGAAATACAAAGAGTGATGGGATAATCAAGATGGCAGCCCCCATGAACTCCGAGTAGCACCTGTGTGTACAACACAAATCGTGGCGGGTATTTCAAAAGAAAATTTTCTAATACTTATGAATACAGACAATATTTGTCTGAAATGTAATGTAGATCTTTGCCAGCTTTTGTGTGCATGCATACACGCTAATTAGGCCTGGGTCCGGAAAAATTTGAAAACTTAGGCCTAGGCCAGTACTAGTACTAGTAAGTAGTAGTACTATTTTTTAGGCCATAGACCTGAACCAGTGTAAACTGTAAACAATAAATTAGCCTAAAAAGTACAGGCCCGTCAATTACTAAGACGGCTAAGTTGAAAGTTTTATTCTTTATTCATTAGGCCTACTTGGACAAGTTGGTCATGTTGGTTTTTGGTACAGTCATGACAGTGATTACATGTACCTAAAAAGTATTGTGCACCCATCCAAGCAAAGGGAATCAACCTTGAAATGCATTTATAGGTCAGTCTCATGGCCTTCAGTTAGGCCTAAGGCTAATTTGTTTCTCGTCAGCACCCACATGTGATTTTTGCCCTACCCCCAGAACTGTGGGGTCTGATGTCCACCCCACTCCTCCTACGAATGTTCTGAGGTAACTTGTGCTCCACGTCAAAATATTTCACTGGTCATTATTTTTGAAACAAATCGGCAAAGCTTGAAGAAAATCCATACTTCCAATTATTTGAATACATTGAAAGTTATGTTCTGGCAGCCTCAATCATCAGAACACAAAAAATCTGGAGCCTGAATGTCCGTGGGCACCTTGTCAGCCTAGCGGGGCAGGGTATTATTTTCCATGATAAAAATAAATGAATAATGAAAAAAACCTGAGAAAGACTTCCATAATCAGACAACACTAGTTTTCCCCAATAACTGCCGTCAGAAAGTGATTTTCTGAAAAGTGAAACTTAAAAAATTCGGAAGCGTTTACTTCGAAAACACTAAAGGTTTTTTCAGACTTGACTCATAGGTTTGTGCACAGGGGCACCAACCTGCATTTAAATTTAAAAACCCCTGACGAGAAACAATCTATCAAATTTTGTTGGCGTAACCTTCCTCCATGACCTAACCATGGAAAACGGACACAGAAGGAGTTTGGACTGCCTAGGCTATAACATCTGGCAAATCTTTCTCGCTTGCTCGATATGTCCATAGCCAGAGCACAGTGAGCACTGACAATGCACCATCTATTTCACAACCACGAGACCCCCCTGTGCTGTATGATCACGGCAGCAATTTTTCCCTGGTAATCTGCATCCTTAAAATTTTGTGTACTAAAGTAAAGGAAATTAAATATTCGTGCATTTGTTGGTGCTCGGTATGACCTCATAGCAACGTCAAATTGAATGTTCGGCAGTTGCTTGTGTTAGGCCATGTGCTGTAAATGTTCATGTGCAGTCATTGAACTTCATGAACAATTTGTTCTTGAGTTAGTTTTGGAATAAATATCCAAGTCGTTTTATTTGAATCATTTATATTTACGGCATTTATGCAAAACTTTATTTTACAAGATCTCATGATCACTCCTTGCATGATGAAATCGTGCATTTTGTTCCTTATAAACTTAGCTTTCTAGTGGTGGTCAACATGTTATTGGCCAGTCTTTGGCAAATTGTACCAAGTCTTTGAAATCTGATGTTTTGGAGGGAGAAGAATTTACCTTGCATGGACAATGGAACAGTGTATCAAAACAAAAAAAGTTTATTCACGAAGGCTAAAGTAGGTATAACATCAGGGATTTCTCTCTCTCCATTTCTTGGTCACAGCAATAACTTGTAGTTTAATTGCAAGTAAAGCACCGCAAATATCACATGGATATTACTGGTTCCACTTGTCCGGCTAAGCAGCAGGGGAGTAATCAGGCATTCTTGAAATGCTTTCTATTATGTGTCTGATTCGGTGATGATCGTTGAGCACTCTTAAGTGCCAGAGTTGTAATTCCTTCTGTGTCCTTCCCCCGTGGTCTAGCTTAGTCGTTGGACTTCAGATTTATGTTTATTAACGTTATGCAACGATAAATCCCACATTTCAATCCCACATTTCAAGGGCATGCAACATTAGGGGTAGGTATGCCTACCCCCGGAACTGTGGGTAAGGGATGGGTTTTAGAGAATGGTACATCAAAGACAAAGCCCATCGAATGTACACTTTAAAAAGAATGATGCTCCAAAGGGTATGCAGTCACCAGGACAGTCAGGTGACCTAAAATAATTACTTGACTGAGGGGAAGACGAAGGAGAGGATCGTCAATTTTTGAAATTTTGTTTAACTGGGCAATTTTTTTTCAAAGTTTTCTTCCTTCAGAGCCAGAAGTCAGCTGAACCCTTGGACAGTCAAACCGGCTCTCAGGAGCTCATTAGCTCTTTGTTTCGTAAGAATGGACAAGCAACCAGTCTTCAACAATCTAACTGCCTGGTTTGCAAGAAGTGTTTCAGCTCGAAGAAGAACTCTCTGGGGTTAGATTGTTCATTTTTTAAAAAGATGTGTCAGAAGATTAGCAAGAAAAAGAGCTTGATATTTAAAAGACTGATAGTGAACAAAACCTGCCATTTCAAACTAATTTCTTTCTCCCAAAGGCTTTTAATTGAACGTAAAGTGCAGGGTTTTTGTTTCACATATAGAGACGAACTATGACTTATTGTAAATGTGTATACATATGGTTTCTGACTAGAGTCTCTTAGAAGGCTTTCCACAAAGTTTATATAACAATTCACTTTCTTATTTCCAACAAATTGGTCACGAGGTGATAAAAAGTATTTAATGTGTGTTAATGTTGCTTTCAGTGAAGCATGGGGGAAAGGTAGTCAGCATTCCCGATGCACAGTTTATTTTCAGTCAAGATGTGGAGGACTGGGACACAGAAAGGTGAGAAAAGCCACCAAACAGTACGGTGTGTGTATTCATCCAATACGTCGCTGAGATTTCGACTGAATGGGCATGAAAGTGATTGCTATTTGCACGAGCGTGATAAAACATTGATTTGAATGTAACCAGCATCAGTTGGGCAACAGCTCCCCTTACTAACTTCGAGTAAGTTGGATTCACCACTTTCCTTATTTAACCCAATCAACTCATGCGGGATGAGCCGAGTGCCAAGGGTACAGCTGTGTCAAACATTCCATACATGGGAAGCTGGTTCAATTGAAAATGTAATCACGTAGCTATTAAATTGATTTTTTGTGAATGCATTTTAACCTTTCATTAATCTCTGGTTCTTGGAATAACTTACACATCAAACGCTCTTTGAAAGTTATGTTTCCCCTGAATAGTTAGCTGAAATTATTTATAAGTTCCATATGCAGTTCCCTGAAAATTTTGCAGTTAAAAACGAGCACCTGCTTCATTAGTCTCCAATTAAATACTATTATGCCATCCCAGTGGGACCGATCATCAAGAAAATTGACGGTGGGTAAACTGAACCACCCTTTTCCCACAAAAAGAATGGACTGATTTCTCCAGAACAAGTCAAATACACGTAGTGATAGGCACCTCGTCCATGTACCCTCAGTTTGTTCAAGACGGAGGACTATCTGATTGGCTGCTTGACCGTGTTCCATGCTGGATTCATAGATGCCTGTCTTAAGAACAACAGTGCCCACAAGACCACCATCGGCAAATACCTCCTCCTGCCTAAAGATGCCCCAAAAGGTAACAAGATAAAGAGATAGTTTTTCATGAATCTCCTCTCCCTTAGATTTTGTCATTTGACTGGCTGAAAGCATGCCACTGTCTTCACACTTTCTTTTCCTCATATTACCTTTCACCCATCCCAAAAATTACTACCACAGGGAGGTGCTGTACTCACGTCAGCCAAAACACGAACTTGATACAGTTGAAGCCCTATGTCAGTAAATAATGCAGTTGCACTCTTGTCAGTATTTTTTACAGCTTTAAGAAATATTTATCCCTCTCAGTTTGAGATCTGGAACATCTCATTTTATTCACATTCTGCACAGTTCTACATGGCATCCTAATCCCAGAGGATAAACCACCAGCAGTAAGTCCAAGAAAATCACCTGCAAAGTCTGCAACAGGAGATGGAGCAAGCCCAAGGGATAGGGCGACACCTGCAATGACACAGAATGGAGAGATGGGAGATCCCTTGCCTGAGGGAGGGGATGATGCATGCAGCGAAAGAACTGGCAGTGGAGACAGGCAGGCTGTTGCACCCACTGGAACCCAATCAGCCAATGGTACACAGCATGAAACAATGCACGAACAGAGAAGGTATGTGTGAATTGAGGAAATTATGGAATCCTTTAATTTTGTTTGTCAAATTTTCAGGCTTCCATTGTTTGCCTACATCCACCGCCAAGAGTGAAAATGTGATTTCATTGTGAACATTATTTAAAAAATTGTTAATGAAGTAAAACTGGCTTTTATCGCGTAGATTTCACGACAGGCTGAGCCCGCAATTTGTAGTGTCTGCCAATCACGATTTCATACGAAATTGACATTCTCCTGGTTGAGTTCTTTTGACTGATGTAGAATTGGTCTCAAGGTCAGCCTTGGAGGGGCTGGTTGTTTTCAGGATGTAGGAGTTGGGAAAAGGATGATGCACGTAGAGGGGAAGCACAGGTGCTTCAGAAGGCAGGTTCACTCGGGTCCTGAGAGAGCAAGTATGTACATGTATTGAATGCTTGTCTTGCCTCTTTAACAGGAGTGCAGACAGAACTGAAGAATGCAGATCTGACAGCAAAGACCACTCTACTAGGAGGCATTCCCACAAAATCGATTCGGCAGGTATGTGAGCCTCTTCAGAGCATTGATGTAAACTTGTTGTCCATGTGAAGACAAGTAACGGGGGTGCAGCACTCATTACAGAAGCATTCAACCAGCTGCTGTTCAATGTTGTTTGAAAAAAATCACTGGCTGGCTTTCATTGGTTGACGATTCAAACCACCGTCTTGCTGACATTTAGAACTCTTGGACAGAATTGCACTCAAAACTGTTATTGCAGCAACGTCAAACCAGTAACTACTGATACATTTATTCTGCAATTCATGTTTTTTATATTTTGATGAAGATCTTCTTAATGATTATAACTTGCAAATTCATTGAAAAATGACACTCAAACTTGCTTGCAAATGTTAAAATCTGTGATTTCAAAGGAAACCATGTCCCCATCATGAAAAGGGTAACAGACAGTTTTTACAAAGCAAAAGGGTGTTTCTGACTGAGGCTTAAAAGTTGAAAACTTGGATTTTGGACATTAAATCCTAATTAGCCCTTTCCCAGTAGATAGGTCCTGGACACTGTCACTTGTTAATTATATTCTGTTTCTCCCCCTACCCAACTGGTATAGATTTTCCCAAATTCCAGGATATCGACATTACAAAGATTCCTCACGTGAAAGATTTACCGAAGGTGACCGGACCCATTGTGGACTTTGTGATCGGGAGAAATGGCTTTGGTGTGCAGAAGATGATGGACACCTAGCTGTGATGCAACTGAGTTGCTAGATTGGTTGGAATTCTAGGATGCCTGGAAATAGTTCAAACAATGTCATTTTTCCCAGTTGAATTGACTTAAATTAGGACGCTGCTTTTTAACAGTGGCATTTTCATTTTGAAATAAAGGTGAAAAATGGCTGGTTTTTTTGGTTGGAAATAGTATAAATTATTTATACATACATGTAATATTCATTTGTAAGAACCATTCCTAAGTATGTTTGCATCATTCATGCATAATATTGTATGAATATTCATGTTCTAGTTCATTGGCTCATTCTTGTATAGTGAATTGTTCATCTGGTATCAGTTATCCATGGTCCAGTTTGTTTTCATTTATCAGGTTTGTTCACCAATAGTTCCCCTAATAGAGTGCTCATAGCACACTAATGGACATTTCGCATATTGAATGGAGTAATTTATAATATTAGATGTTGTGTATTGTTTTGGAATAATATATTTGAAATTGTAAATGTTTTTAGTCCAAGTTGTAAATACAAAATGTAATTTTGCCACAAGGCCTTGCGTGGCGGATTTTAACATTAAACTCTGTTCATCAAAAAGGAGGTTGGTGGTGGTTTTCTTTTTTTGGGGGGTAAGACATTTTGTTTCGAACTGCATGCTCTGAACTATCTGATTGAACGGGGCGCATCGAAAACGAAAGTCAGTTCTTTAGGGCGTGTATTCTTGTCACTGTGGAAAACTGAAGCGGGCTATGGTTGAGCATGAATCCGTTACGCGGTATTCGCACTGCTCTTATTTCAAACCCCAGTTTGTGCTTTTTCTATAATTTCTATAAGCACCATATTCTTCCCTTTTGCCTTGAAGTATGGCCTACATATAACACTCGGCCCGTCTCGTCTGAAGAGCGGCTCAGGTTATCAGATAAAAAACGGAAATCACACCAGGACTTTGGCTGATGTGATTACATCCCCTCAAGTCACGTCTGCCCTGGAGAGCCTGAGGAGTCTTGTAGCCGCAGACCTTCGATAATACTGGAACATCAGCTGAATAAATGTTTGAAGTATCGTGAGGAATGTTAATGGGGTAATGTTTTATCAGGCGGACACTTCGTCATGCCTGATGTGTGGCAAGTCAGCTTGTATTTTTTATGATACCTTTTGCTGAAGTACAGATTAGAACATATGCGATCGGATTGCTTATTGCTTCTTTTATTAAATATATTGATACAACTGTGGCTATATCCCGAGATCTTGACAAATTAAATTAAACAAATGAAGTGTTAGGCACATTACACTCCAGCCATCCACTAGATAAACTGACTTTGGCGCCGACTCAGATTGCACAATCAACTCTAGATGAAAGTAAGTACATTTGAATTTGAAAATGGAACTGTGTTCAAAGCTTGGGGGGTGGAATTCCAACAGAACCATTCTCGGGGAAAATATCGTTTTTGTTTTATCTCTTTAGATTAACTGTGACTTGCCATTTTGTATACAGTGAATGCATGGAGCAATTCGGTTATTTGATGTCATGAAACTAGGGCCTAGTGGCCACTTTCTAGATTTCCAATTTTGGGAATTGAGCCCACTTATGAAAATGATCGAGGGACCGGCAAAGCACCACCTTTAGTTTATATAAAAACTAAACTAAAATCTAAAAGCAAATTTTCAGTTTTACAATAGCGCTGGGATACTCTCTAGATTATAGGCCTGATGACCTTTCTGCCCACTTTCGGGATCAGCCTCTTTCCCAACCTGGAAATTTTGGTTCTGGATGCGTGCTTAGTTAGGTAGACGTCAGTTCCTCCGTTTGTGATTGGTGATTTAAAAGAGCTCCAACTGAGGACCCACCCAGCCCAATTATTTAGTAAGCTTGAGGGAAGTCTGGAAATGCGAAGTATTGCGGATGAGTTAAATGTTGTTGAGAAATCTATGCAATTATGAATGCTCATCGGAAATGGCAGTCCCCACAAGAGCGCATTGGGACGACGGTGGATAGGAGCAAAACATAGCTGGTCCGCTAATTGCGCCCTCTGTTGGCAACTTTATTTTACATTTACGTTTTTGGTGGAAATCTAGAGGCATTTTCGCCTGGGTTGCCGGCGGGGGGTGCTTTGATATTGACGCCACTTAATACCAACGTGGAACTGCACTTTTCCTTTAACAAACATGAAAATTTGACGGCAGTTTAAGTGTGCTAGTATGCTTTCAGTGGTATTCCTTCTTCGAATTAACTTATTTGGTGCGTGATCTCGGTGAGATACGTGGTTCGCTTGTCACCCACAGCCCTTACAGAGAACTGGGAATTAGGGTGAATAATGTTGTGAAGGAGATAATGTCATAGCTGTGGACGCGCAAAGCATTATGGGTTACTTGCTGTCCTAATCCAAGCATGTGCTTTCAGTGCACTCGTGTCATGTACTCATGGAAGTGTTTACCAGTGAATTGTCCGAATGCATTTTGTCCAGTGAATGCTTGTTAATATTACATCATGCATTGGCCCTTCTCGGCGTCCTGTGAGGGCGTTGGGTGACTAACGAAAATACATAGTGAAATGGAAAATGGGCCTGCCTAGTTATGTTTTGTTGATATGTATGTAGCGACACCGTGAGGAACGCGCCTGCGCCAGACAGGTTCCCAGACCACAACACGGGACTTTCTCTGTCGAGATAGCAGGTACTTCCACGACGTAGGAGGAATGTATGTTTCCGTTGGTCAGTTCTTTGCTCTATGGTTGGAGAGTTGCGGTTCAGTGTTCTACGGGTGGCAGTTACTAGTTGTTGAATGATCTTATTTGCGTCTTCACGGTTGAGTTACTGAACACGACACTACGCAATTTTCCGGACCCAAGTATCGGGAATGCGAGACCTCATTTACCCGACGAATCGTGATGCTGGGCGGTACCGGTAATAAAAACGTCATCTCACGCAGTCCTATCATCAGGCGGATCGTTAGTAAATCGGCAATCATAACTTTCCCCTGCGCCACATACAGCTGATGATCGGCCAAATTCAAGCCGTTTGCAACGGTAGCAAACTCTGGCCCGGCAGCACGTGAACGTACCTGGCACACATACGTACACACGGTCGTGTGGCCGTGGGCAACCAGAGTGAAATCAGCTTGTTAGCTATCGGCACTTGGCAAGCTGGACTGATTTTGCTCTCAACTCACAACCCGAGCTTAGTGTCGCCGATTGCTTGAGAAGTTGGGGCTAACCAAAATTAACTTCCTCCATTTCATACTGAATATCATCACTTGGGTACGAACGTGTATCTACATTAAATTTTAATAATCTTCATTCCACTTCCCGTAACTGCAAAACATTGTAGTGGCCTTTCTAATGAATACAAAATATGTATGTGTCCCCGAGTGGCAATGCTGACGGTCTAGTACATGTAGTTGCTGGGTCCATGTACCGATTTGCCACAGCTGTAAGCGTGCATCGCGCGTCGGACTTTTCTTAGATTATAAATTGGTACCGACCGGCAGCCTGCCAGCAACCTAACCCAGTTCGCCTCTGCATCTAGACCGGCAACAAGCTCGTGAAATTTAGCGCCAGAACAGCTCTGATTTTACGCCGCACGTCATGTGTTAACTTCGGTGCGTGCCCACGCGTAAGTGTCGTACATGAGTGTCCGTCTACCTAAGATAGCAAGATAGCAGTTGAGTTGCTGAAGGATGTTAGGACCCGTTAACTTCAGGATGATGGCATGTACAGCCATTCTAACAGTTTTGGTTCTGCCGTATTTACAAGGTGAGTGACTCACTTTTAATGAACTGAAGTAAAGTATTTTCAAGATGTACTTTGTGTCAGAGAGATATTAATTTTAATTACGGGTTTTGCCCTTACCCGATGTTTGCTCATAAACCCTGTATACTCAGTGCTTGTCCGAGAGTTGCGATAAAGCTTCACAAGCTTACTCGGGTGGGACTCGAACCCACGACCTCCTGCTTACTACTGCAGACGCCTTAACCGGCTCTCGGACAAGTATACAGTGTTTATGAACATTCGTCGGGTAAGGGCAAAACCGTAATTAAAATTAATATCTCCCCGACACAAAGTACAACTTGAAAATAGTTTGCGGTACCCACAGCTACATCTAACTCGACCGGCCGTCCGACCCCGGCAAGCTCGATGGTCGAGTGGTTAAGACCTCTGCACGAGTAAGCAGGGGGTCGTGGGTTCGAGTCCCACCCGAGTAAAGACAAGCACCGAGTGTGCAGTGTTTATGAAGTAAAGCACCGGTACTTTCTTTATAATTGTGCACGAATGGTGTTGTTTGCGTAGAGAACAGCTGCTCTCTCCATTACGCTATCACACTTCGAATTCACTTTGGATTTCGTTATTAAACAATTGTTACCCACTTACATCTGCTACCATGTGTGCACATCACTGTAAAAAACGTTGGTCGAAACAGTGTTGGGCATTTGTTATTTGCCCAACCTTGGTTAACGCTACCGCATTTTTGGTCAATTATCCGTCACTGTTGGTCAAACATTGACCAAACATTGGGAAGAATTTGCCCAAAGGTTGCTAAGTTGACATTTTTACCAACATTTGGCAAAATATCAACCCCAAAATGACCAATCTTTTTACAGTGGCGTAGACATTATAATACATTAACGTTTGTAATGGCTCGCCAGCTGGCTAGAGAAACTTTCTGAAACTTATTCACGACTCTCCTAATTTATAAGCTCCAGAAATAAATCAGGAAGTAAGATTTAATTTATGTGGACCAAATTTTTCCATTATTACTATACATCAAATTTGATCATAAATGTTCAACTGTTTTGGTTTGTAATTTTCGTGCTCCGGAGTCTACGGTGTACTTATTTGAGATTCAGATTTACGGTTATTGTTGGAGGAGTTTTGTGAAACAAGAACCCAATTACAGCCATTTGAAGTTGGCGTAAGCTGAGATGTTTTGGTCAACGCATCGACAACATCTTCACCGAGATCTGTCACTCTGACTCGGCGGTGGTGTCACTGTTCCACCCTCCACGCCACTTGGTAGCCGCGGCCGCTGGAATAAAAAATACCCCAAGGCCGAACGCGATCAAGTGCGATGTACAATGCAGATGCAGACCAATTATGCATTCGGGGGAGACGGAGCGTGGTGCTCCCTTACAGGAACCAACATGGAGGAACTCGGCGTGGCCGTACTTCTGCAAAACAGATCTTTTGCCTGACCGGTGATGGAGTGATTATGCACGTTTATCTCGAAGCGTGTGGGATGTTTTTTTTTCCTTCTTCCTTCTCCTTCCCGACGTGTGCATGGTATCAAGCAGTGTTTTTACATGGTTTGAATTATGCACTGAAGAGGTGCACATTCTTAAATGTCTGCTTCTTCACTGGCTTGATTTCGGCTACCGTTTGGGATGGATCAAAGTCAAGGAGGGATGACGGCAACACCACTGAAACAAGAGATAATCACGAAGTCGCTCACAGATAAGTGAGTTTATGTAACTGCTTGGACAAAGTTGATTGAGTGTGAACTTTATATGGCACCTAGTCCATACAGCGCACGCAACACTGTCGTGCAACACCGTACAATGTCAAGGATAAGAAAAGAACACCTTTACAATTAAGCAGTCATTCTGGACAAAGCATTTGAAAAGAATGAAAAAAAAACAGCAAACACGGTGAACTGGAATGTTGTTACAAGAGAGAAGAATTACTTCCTTCTTTTGCCTTTTCCTGTTTTGTTTGTTTGTTGCGGTTGGCTTGGGCATGGGTCGGGGAACGACAGCACTCAGGGTCGGTGGTTTTCACAGTCGTCACCAAATTGTTGTCTGACATGGGTTTAATACAAAATGGAACGTGGTTCTGTTATATACCAGGCTGAGAGGCGCCGCGGACTATATAGCCAGCAAAAAAGCATTGTATTGGATAAGTTTTCCCTCTGGTTAACAGCACAGAAAAAGCAGTTGCTCATAAGGCCAATGTTGATCTGGTTTCATCTTCCGTGAAACCATGGAGCTGTGAAAAAGGAATAAAGACCATCTGAATGTACTTCTGTTTCCTACTGGATAGTAGATGCCAATTTATCACAACCTCTTTCCCGTAGCTAATTCTGGTTCATCAATTCACATTACACGGGCGCCGAGAGACAAACAGTTTTCATGTGGTTTCCCCAAGGTCAGAAGAAAATGACCACCGGTTAAATTCGAACATCGTCCCTCAAACGAATCACAAACCAGCCTCATCCAGCTTAGTTCCATAGGGACTCAATCCTGAATCAGGGTAGGCCGAGAGGAACGTCCGATATTTGACAGAACGGTGATGGACGATTCCTCAGAAAATGATCGTGAAGTTGCAAATGAAGTTGTGATCAGGGCTGGATTAAGTGTCCTGCCGGCCCCAGTCACCAGTGCTCCGGTATAAGCCTGGGCCAGTATTCCTTGTGTTCGTGTTGATGATGAAGCTGGAGTAAGTAATGAACTTAAAGTATAACTTGACGGATTCTTCTGTAACAGTTAATGGAATCCATTCTTTGCAAGTCCTGCATTTCGTCAGTCGTTCGATTCAGTGCTGGAGACGATATACATGTAGTCTGTATTTCTGACCGATGCTTAGATATTAGTGGAATTTAATAACAGTGTTTGATTTGATTAAAGGCGTTCAAATCACGCGGACATTGTCTCATAAAAAGGCGATGTGCTCCCTTTGAGGTAGTAATAAACTCGTTTCCAACTTGGCCCTGGTTTGACAAGTGTCGCAACCGTGCAAAATGACACCAGTCACACCATACATTCCATAGGAATTGGAATATAGCAGCCAAGTCCTTCCCTTTCTCTTTTTACCTGTGAAAGTGTCCGTTTTTGCAGTTGTCAAACTTGAATTTTGAGAGTGTTTTTCAAGCTCATACTCAGGGTGGTAAAGCGAGGGCACGACTTTGCCTTCAACAGTGGGCAGGGTTGAACAGCCAGGCCGACACACTAGTTGATTTTCACTGTTCGATCCTATCTTTTTGGGAACGAGGAAATAATTGCCATTTTCGGACGCTGTCTTTGCTATGTAGGTTCCGAAGAAGCGTTTGGATTTTGTTTTTTTTGGGGGGGGGCCTTCAGCTCGTAGATTTCTCACATTCATTTTCCTCGCCCCAATATGAAAACTTTTTCCTTTTCGTGTGATTTTTAAATGCTTTTATTATTGGAATAGTAATGTACGAGAAATTCCACATGAAAGGAACATCGCAACTCTTGGAGCTACTAATGATTAGTCACCATCAACCGCGGAGCCACAGATTAACAGGCTTGCGCTTTTTCTGTCCACAACTAAATTGACTGAAATTTGTAGTTGATATTTAAACAACCGACCTTCCTTTTTTCTTTTTTGTCTTGGGGTAATTTAATTTGAAGTGCAAGCCCCCCCCCCAAAAAAAACCGAGGACCTGAGCTTGACACAGATTGCATTCAAGCCTTCCGCAGAATGGACTCGAAAGGGGGGGGGGGTTGTGAGAGCTATGCCGGGATTGTCCGCACTCTTTGTGATAGTGATGGGTCGACTACACATGCATTGTTTTTCAGCTATCACATAAGGGACCCAAATCTTTCAAATTGTTTCAGCTGCAAAGTCCATGCACGTAAGCCTAAGAGCGCTGCAGAAGAAAACACAATTATAATTGTATTGGCTTTTTTAACTGTATGTTTTCGAACGTTTCTCCCGTTCGTATAGTATTTTGAAATTTTGTTGGTTTTGTCTGGACACATAGCCGCTCTCTTCCTCCAAATACGGAGAATGCATAGGCCCTACCCCTTTTCTCAAGAAAAAAACAAAAAGTGTGAGTACCGTGTTAATCTTTTTTCTTCTTCCCGACAGTGGCTTTTGCAAAGGACAGCGGAGAACCACATTTTGTAAACGGTAAGTTTATTTCTTTCACATTGGATTTTTAATTTGCCTCCAGCTCCAAGAGATTTTATCGAATAATGCCGAGAATGGTCTTTGCAAGATGGTAATGTCCCTTTCACACTCTGGCAACGACCAGGAAGACTCGGCTACGTCGTAAAATTTCATTAAACCTTTACTAGGACGGGATGAAACGAGGAAAATTGGGCGGAAAAATTGTTCGTTCAAGACCGTAGAGTAGGTTGTCAAGTTGCTGGCACGTGTGTGAAGTTGGCATTACTTTCTCGGCACGATTAAACTGAATGTGAGTCCCGACTCCACTAAGATGCAATCGGACCGTTTGACGATGTAAAAGACTTCGATACGATCGAACTACGACATTATCAGGGTATACGATAGTAATACGTTGTTTCTGTTTGTACAACGTGTGGGGTATGCCTGTAATAAGCTGTCGTCACGTTTGCGAGCATTTCCTTCATATATTGACTGAAACACTGCAACCCCATCAATTCTCCGGTGGGAACGCCATCAAATTCTTCCTAATTAAGCTGCGCTTGTGCCACGGCTATAAAGATCTACGTTGCTAATACGCCAAGATTACGCGTATGCCGTCTTTACTGGGTTGTTAATACGCTGTCACTGCCACTTGAGGCCACTAGGCCTACAACCCTGCTACCTAACTTCAGAGCATGCTCCCAAATTTTTCCCTACCTCCCCGTCCTTAAAGACCCTACCACCTTGCTGTCAGTCCCCATTCATTTCTTACTACGATGTATAAGATCTCACCACGACTGGCCACGCTCTCCCGATTTCTTAGGACGTAGCACGATAGTGTTTGAGTTTGACGGGCACAGCAACTCTGTAGAGACCCCAAATTAGTTCTTTTAGACCGAACTATACCTCCTGTTTTACAAATCATTCCAATCAATTAATCAATATGCAAATATCCTCCATGAGCCAGTGCAGAATAACTGATCAATAACTTTTTTTCTGGTAGGACAACCGGAATTGTGCATCAGTTGTCTTTAAAACCGCCCCGACGAGACCCCCCATAATTACAATTTACGTTCGCCAGTGAAACATGGCCCGCAGCGTTAAAGGAAGCAAAGATGATTAATCTCGAACCAGGTTGGAGAAGTCAGAGGTGTGTTGTAATTTTCCGAAAGGAGCCAAAGAAATCGGGGCCGAGTTTTTCTCAACGAGGCGTGACTCGGTTATCACGACTGCTCTTGCTAAATCAAAGCAAATTAACTCATCACGCCAGCCGAGCGTGGTCGTCGGAATTAAACGCCGTCAAGTTCAAAGGAAAAGACACCACCAAACTTTTCGAGTTCACGAGGCAATCTGCCTGAAGACCCCAAATATATTATCCTTGAGGCGTTGGCTATAATCTGTTGTTTCATTTGTCCACTGATCTTCCAGAGAAAAGTTACGGTTTATTAAACACTGCGACAAATCGGGGACTGGAAATGGCCGCAATAGGAGCTGTTAATTTTAGGCGGATGAAAGTGACTGTATGCCTGCATATTATTGCTTGGGATTCTTCAAAGCAAAACAAGCCTGAAATTTCATGCGCATATTTCCTTATGAGCGGCATTCTCAACCAAAAACAACATGAATTTTATTACTGGGTCATAAATTTGCCATTGCGTGTACAAGCTTCGTTTACCAGTGTGACTGGTACGGCGGACTGAGTCACTGATCCCTTCATGAAGACTTGATTGATAAACCCATAAACACGTGGGTCCAGTTTTAATCAGTGGAGGAATTAAATCCTTCAAAACATGTCTTGTGCGCCATGTTGGAATGAAGCAATAAAGAGAAAGACAAACGAATTTGGTCGTGGAAATTGATCTGAGTAAACGCATACACGTGTTATACCAAAAGTGAACCAATCTGATTTCACTGTAGGTGGGCACCAATCAGTGGCCGTTGGAATATGTGCCAAGCAAACCACCACGCCAAGGTCATGCGCTGTACTGTGACCGATAATTAACGACGGGCATCACGAATTATTCACGCAAATTACATCAAGGGCCCCTTTAAGCGCGAGAGAGTGAGAAACCTGCCGTCCATCTTCAGTCTTGTTTACGATGCCGTCAGGACAGCGAGCTTAGAGACACCTATTGCTCGACGGGTTCAACCCCGGCAACCTCCTTCCCCCTTCTCCCCCTTTTATTAATTTAGCCAGCCGCCTATGAATAACGGACTTTTCATATCTGATCTGTTTCACCACTCGCTCGTCGTCGTCGTCCGGGCACCTCCAGATCATTAACAGGCCCAATCGGATCGGGGCATTGACGGGTCACTGATTTCTACTCTCTCCTCCGTCTCAATCCGTCCCGTCATCCAAGTTCAAATTGCATTAGAGAGACGTATGTATATAAAGGCCTATAGTGTACGCGTATTATACACAAGCCCATTACCGAGATTCTATCTTATTTGTCTGGTGAGGCCACATGGAGCTAGGACCCCTACCAACAGGACCTTTGGCTGTACAGTTGAGCTTGCTTTCGCTCACTCGGCAGCAAAGGTGGAACCAGAACCCCTCTTTGGGAAGGGTCAACATTCTTCGAGCAGGAAACATTTGGGAATTTCTTCATTTAACGTTGTATGGGCTGCGTGTTCTCGGAGTGAGGCTAAATTTGGAGGCTTTTCTCTTGTTTGGGGGGGGGGAATGAAGGAAAATAACAGAGTCCCCAAATTGCTTCCCTTTGTGGTGTAAACCCACCCCCGTTTTGGGGGTGGGGTGGGGTGTATGACTCCCTTAGATCTGCAAATACTCTGCGATTTCAGCGCACACCGTAATAAGAAAATGCACAGGTTGGCTCCAAGAACACTAACAATGTAATTTATATTACTTATGATGGAAGGGGGCCATACTAAGAAATGGTGGTCTCGTGTGCATGGGAAAAATAACGATTATAAAGTTTTTTACAGAGCACTAAAAATTCCACTTAAATTAGAAACTAATAGCAAAAATGATTTAATGGGATTTTCTGCAGAAAAAAATGAACAAAGCCAGAAAACCTGAGAGAAAATGATCATCAAAGTCACACCCCTGTATACGCTCAATGGCCCGCTCACAAGCCTCTTGCCGCCGAGACCATTTGTGCACATGCGTGCAAAATTATGAATTTATTATTGAAGAGGTCTATGAAGGAGAGCCCCCCCCAAAAAAATTCCAATGAAATTTTTTCCCTAACTGTCTTTTTGAAATTACAATCTGAACTTGTTTAAAAATCAACCCCCTTTTAAAAATTTTATGTCTCCACATTTTTCTTTCAAAAATTGGTTTCACGATCCATCTTATGTAACGCACTGGAGTCAATTGCATTGTTTCCAGTTATCTCATTACAATACCGAAGATCTGATTTAATTTTCAAAGATAATTAATGCACTCACTATGGACAGCATCCTTATTTAACTTTTCGTGGAAAGCGTGACTTGCGGTCGGGTGTCCTAAAAATGCGCACGGGTATTTTAATGATTCAAAACGATATTTAATTGCTGCACTCGCAATATCTGTGTTTAGCTAGGCGGAGGGTGATGTGATCCGTGTTGGGGAAGGGTTGCTATACCACCTCGATGAGGCTGCATATTAGTTAAGTCAAGTGGCTTATCCATAATGCAACGCCTCTTGCAAGATTGAATTCGTAGAGTCGCTAATGAACGAATGAGCCCCGTGAGGAAATGTATGGAATACATTAATTGTCGGGGTCTACGGAGGCAGGATGGTCAACGGCCGTCCCAGTTAATGGCCGATGATGGCCGCCTCGGCGGTCAAGCTTTCGCTACAGGCCTGTCTTTCGCTAAAGTCACTGTGATGCTCTTACCTAAGGATTTAGAAAAGAGCAACCTTCAAAGTACATGTGTTGAAAACCACCCAGGTAATGTAAAAACACTGAATTATCAAAAAAATGACAATGATGATATCTTCCCTTTAATTCCGCAGAACGTGAGTAAGCAATTTAGGACAAAGCTGCCGCTAAAATATTCATTTGAATTTACTCCAAACCGCAGTGTGGCAACCGGTGGAAATGGCGCTCTACATTAATCAATGGGTCTACAGTTGCTAAAGTTACAACCATTATACACGTAGTTCGAAAATGGTAACAATTCTCGGTTGTTCATTCCCTACTGGCCGCTAATAGGTTTTTGCTGACATTCATGCATGACCAAACGCAAAATTCGTATCGAAATAGTTCTTGACTGTGTTTAGCCGCATTAAATATGAATAATTTTTCAACTCATCTGAATTCTTTTTGTGCATTTAACATAACTTTTAGTCGTTTTCATGCGTTAATTCTGTTTAAAATGTTCAGATGTGCTGTACAATACAGGTATAAGGAATATGAAAGATATTATTATGAAGAAAATTTCTCATATTTTTAGAAAAAGAAATGGAATGCATGCATAATTTTGACAAACGCAAACATTCGTGGAGGTAACCGAAAGATCCCCTACACAAGCAAAATCCGATTACCTTGCTAGTATGGTCGTACCAAAACCGTTTGGACAGCACAACTAAAGTTTCCACAAGGTGTGCAAAATTGACCTATGCGAAAAGCAGCCACCTCGACGCAAATTCGATTTAGTCGAAACCAAGACGGGCAAATTATACACACTTACAATCGGAACTCCGGCGGGCGAACGGATCGATCGGTGGAGACAGCGTGATGGGCCACAGCGCGAATTATGTCTGAATCACCATGCTGTATACTTAGTCAATTCTTTGCTATATGGCAAAACTAGGGTCGCTGGGGCCCGCTTTTCATGAATGAAACTGTGATATCCTGACAAGTCTCGGTGATTGAGAGCCAAAGATACTGCGCGGCATAAAAGACCAAGAAGTCATTACAATGTGGTGTTTCTATCATAAGATGTCAATTATGTCAACTTGGCAAAGAATACTCCGTCTCTGTACCCCAAACGTAAACTTACATGCCAGCCTGTTACTTCTGGACGTATGAAGATTTCAGACAGAAATTGGTGGTTTGGGTTTCAAAAAGGGT